TCAAGTCTTACAGTCAAGTCGCTTCTCTGCAGTTCAGTAGAGTCAAGCTTCTTCTGTAGGTCTATTCGATTTCAAGTCTTACAGTCAAGTCGCTTCTCTGCAGTTCAGTAGAGTCAAGCTTCTTCTGTAGGTCTATTCGATTTCAAGTCTTACAGTCAAGTCACTTCTCTGCAGTTCAGTAGAGGCGAGCTTATTCTCTAGGTTAGAGTATTCTATTTCTCATCTTTTCCATAAATACTTGAGAGTCTAGTCGCCTCTCTTGAGTTCGGCAGAGTCAAGCCTCTTCTCTAGGTGTCTCCTTTGAGCCTTGCTTTTAAATTTTAAGTTTAGTTGTATGAAGGTTATATTAATTCAGCCAAGTAGAATGAGTTAAGCCCCTGGTATGCCAATTGTGAATAATGTATACATGTACTTATAAATGTATCTTATCTATGTTTTGCTAGCATGAGTAATAAACAGTTAAACTGTTTATCGTGTACATCTTTTTATTGTTTATAAAACAAATTTTGGGCATTGTGCAGGGTTTCCTCCAGACCTTCCATCTTTACACATCTCCTCTGTGCCACCCTCTTATCACAGTTTACCACTTAGAAGGTCTTCATTTGTATTCCACATCAATAACATTAATATTGATTGCCATGTACTTAGGAAGACAGTGAAAGCCCACACTAATGATATGAATATTTGTCTGTAATCTATTCATTAACTCATTTACCCCTGAAGTTTCATAATGAACTATTCCAACCTTTGATTTGGAAGAGTTCAAATGTGTCTTCAGGAGTTAATGAGTTAATATACTAGCTGCTTTCGATTGAGCCATAGCATCATCATGTCATTTTTTTCTTTCTTCTTTTTCCCTTTTATTCATGTACTTATTCTATATTACTTTGGGCCACCATCATAAGATGGTGGACTTTTTAAATCACCCTTCGTTCGTGGTCCATCGTCCATCCATTATTCCGTCTGTCCATCCTGAAACAATTCTTGTTAAAGCTTAGTTGAGGGATCTTTTCCAAATTTCACAGGTAGGTTCCCCATGATCCCTAGTTACATGCAAATTGAATTTTGGAACTGATCAGAAAATCAAGATGGCAGATAAGCAGCAATCTTGTATTCGAGTGTTAAAGTTTGTTAGCACTTTTTGTCAGCAAGAACAGTATGGATCTATCTCAAATATCACATAATGCTCCCTGTGGTCCCTTGTTAGGTATATCAATTTTTTGTGCTGAACGGAAAACGAAGATGGCCAATAGACAGTCATCTTGAATTTGAGTGTTAAAATTTGACAGCGCTGTTTCTCAGAATGTGCTAGAGGGATAAATTATTAAATTCCTCAGAGGGATCTTCGTGTTCATCATTGTACCATCTGTATTAGCTCTATGTCAGTTCGATCTTTTCTCTTCTTTTCTCTTATGATCTGTTCTGATCGAGTCATATGCATGTAAGCAGTAAATGGACCTTGAAGTAACTCTTGATCTAAACTTAATACTGCTGTGTATAAAAGACAACCTTCAAAGTGAGTTTGTCTTTTCACATATTTATTAGTACAGTTACTGACTTAGTGTTTAACCCTTTCACCCCTATGTAACTTTCACCACTGTAGACCATAATTGACTAATCCAGATCAATGCATGACAGAGTCTACTAAAGTTACATAGGGGTGAAAGGGTTAAAAGTCATCTTCTCAATAAACAAAAGATCTAGAGTGGTGATATTTGGCAATGTGCATTCTAGGATTACAAGAAATGTTTTAGGGCTATAAAGTTTGTTCAACTTAATATCCTTGTTTAACTTACAAGGTCAGGGGGGTCAAATACGTTTAAATCATTTTGCCTGTAGCTTTATTTAAGTCCACTTTTAAGTTACATTTAGTGTGAGAGTAATACCAAGGTGAGAGATGCAGGCAGATTGTACCTCTTGTATTACAAATGATGTACGTGTGATTGTAATGTTGTAATTTGTAATATTTTATTAATTACATTGTTCATTGCTGTATTGTAAGTTGTGTTTGTGGTATGCCTGAAAAGGTCACCGAGACTATTTTCTGGAGTGACCTCAATGTGACCTTGAATTTGGGTGAACAGTCTCAAAAATGGTATGAGACACGACCTTGCAAAACTACATATATCCATAAAATTTCATTGAGCTATATTTAGCAATCCCAAGTCCTGGCCCAGACAATATTTGACTACCCAATGGTAGTACCGGGTATGTGATACAACCCTTGCCATCCTACAGGTATCTAAAATGTCATCGAGTTATATTATAAGCGAGTCAGTTGTTAATTGGCATACAGACCCATTAATGATACGGGACACACCGCCTTGCCATTCTACATATATCCTTTAAATCTCATCATGTTATATGCATCAAGTCAGAAATTGAATGGCCTAGACAATGAATTTGACCTTTGACCTCAATGTGACCTTGGCCTGCGTATGGACCAAATAGTGGTATCCCATACACCGCCCTGCCATCCTCCAGATATCCCTTGGGTTTAATTGAGCAAACCTCGAGTTAGTCAGACGTTATGGTCCAGACAACTTTACTTATTGAATAGACGGACAGACAAAAAAAGTGCTGACTATATTCTTTTAATTTTTTCAGGAAGCATAATAAAACTACATCATTATGAATCAGACCTAGATTTCAAAGGAATTGAAACCTTAATTCAAACGAAAATGTTGCACTTGAATCCACTATATTAATGCTATTAATCGTTTGTATAAAAGTATTAATCAATCATACAGATTTGGATATTTGTTTTAAGTGCACTGTTATTTGCTTCTCAAGGATATATATATATTATACTCCTCTATCCTTTCAAACAAACCAATTCACAGACCTGACTTTTTCAAGAATAAAGTAATGTTTATTGATATAGGAGGCACGGTAGTCTAGTGGTGAGACGCCAGGCTCGTGACCGAAGGGTTGCGTGTTCAAGTCATGGCACGGCACTGTGTTGTATCTTTGAACTAGATAATTTACCCCGCTTGTTCCAGTCTACTCAGCTGTAAATGAGTATGTGGTTGGGCAGTGCTAGAGTTGTTGAATGCTAGCTGTTAGCGCCGAAATGGCAGCTCCGGCTGTATGCTCCCCAGGGAGTGGAGAAAGGTATTGGCTAGTTGCAAAGGCCCTATAACCAATTTGTGAACCGCTTTAAGACGACCTACGAACTAGGTTGTGATAAAGCAGTATATAAGAACCCCAAATTATTATTATTATAATCAAATTATCATATTTTTCTTTACAAATAATCTACATTGTTATCTTCATTCATTCCTCTTTTTTTAATAAATGTGGCGACGTCCAATTTCTCTACATTAAACACTTGCAAAATGTTTTCCTGCGTTTGCTTCCTATATATATATATTTCTATCTTTCCATACATTCGCTGTATAGAAAAAATTCTTTTTCTTGGAAAATGCAAATTTCCTCATTACAGATGAATGACTAAAGTGCAATGAATTTATAGGTTTTTGTTTTGCATGATGCTTTGCAGCTGTGAGTTATCTCGAAAAGAAACTGTTATGGTTTTCGCCTGCAAGCAATAAATATGATATGTATCAAATATAATCAAATAAAATGTTAGATGTGATAGATTGATTATTCAGATGCTTTACCCTTCCAGAAACATAAAATTTGCTGCAAACTATTTTGTTTGCAAGAAGAAGTTTGCGGGTTGTTGCAGCTAGCTACATTTTTTTTTGAGATGGAGACAAAATTAGGGAGGGGGCTTTATTGCAGGCACCCACCCTGTTCCCAGGACATTTACCAAAGTGGGGAGGGGGCTTATTTGCGAGAGGGAGCTCATTCGCGGTAAAATACGGTAAGCTGTGTTTCTTGCGCTGCCTGATTCAGACGTTGAACATTCAGTATCAAACCATGTACCATATCTGCAGCCTCTGGTAAGGAATCAGCTAGTCCAATCAGCTGAATTCTGCTTTTGCTTTTCTCAAATGTCGCTTCAACCTGGAACTGTTCCTCAAGTTTCTTAATAAGCTCATTTTCCTGTACAAGTGGGAAGAAACAATGCTGCTAAAATTGATGATGCATTTATAACTTTTTTTTTATTAATTATTATCATGGTTTTCTTTTTTATGTAAAGGGTACATTTATACAAAATTGAGTCTTTTTACCCTAAGGATGCTCCAGACCACATTTGGTTGAAATCCCTTCATTTGTACAGAAGATTAGAAACATTTTCCACTATTTGCTTTATTGGGCCCCACCCCTCTGCCCCCAGGGGGACCACACCCTCCGTTTTTACAAATTGAGAACCTTCATGGTCAGGTGAGCTGAAAATACCCAAGACAATTAAACAATACCATCTAGTTTTAAATTGTCTGTGAGGCCTTATTTTTTTCTACTTAAGCTAAACTTTAAATGAATAATCTTTTCATCATTGACAACAGCTCGTATAGAACATCAAAAAGCACTTGAAGAATATATATCGCCGTTAAAGTTAAAATTTTACTTCTAAGATGGTATCACCCAATGATTATAGTCACAGTGTGAATAAATTTAAATAGATTTGGGTGGGAATAAATTATATGAATTTGTTAACGTTCTTAAAATAACAGTGAAGTAACAAACCTGGATTGGTGTGAAAGTTTTTATGATGTCATCTGTAATTATTTTAAGTCTAAGCATTTCATCAAGTTTGTTTTCCAAGTCCCTTATTGCCATACTAGTGACAATCTGGTCTTTACCGTAGATCATCACAGCAAAAGACGAGGTATTCCCTGGTGTAGGGTTCCTTCCTGCTCCTGTGAGCGTAATGACAAGAGAAAATTCATGAAATGTTCAATTAGTTATTCAGCTTATCATCTTAAAAATATGCAGCATATATTAAATTAATTGTACTGAATATGACAAATATATTCATAACCAATTGACATAGTAATGGAAAAGCTGACAATACTTTATTGAAAATAAAGCCTTCAGAAGCAATTGTTAGCACAATACAGGAAGAGGGATTGCTGCAAACGATATCTCTGCTCATCAGGGCGAAGGTCTTGTTTCGAGAAAGTAGGCAAGTATTTTGAAATTCTTTGTTTTTTAGCTACAACTGTAAGCCAAAGGCTAACTAATACCCCTGCTACTAAATAAACCAGAACTGTAAGCTAAAGGCTTACGAATGCAAAGCAATATATATATAGTTGCCCACCAGAATTATGAAAGAGACAAACCTCACACTGTATTTCTATGAGGAAAGAGACAAATCTCACACTGTGTACTTCTATGATGTAAGGGACAAATATCACTGTATTTCTATGATGTAAGGGACAAATCTCACACTGTGTACTTCTGCGATGTAAGGGACAAATATCACACTGTATATTTCTATTATTTTAGGGAGAAAATCTGACACTGTATTTCTATGATGAAAGAGACAAATCTCACACTGTATTTCTATGATATAAGGGACAAATCTCACACTATTTCTGTGATGTAAGGGACAAATCTCACACTGTGTATTTCTATGATGTAAGAGACAAATCTCACACTGTGTATTTCTATTATGTCTGGGACAAATCTCACACTGTGTATTTCTATTATGTAATGGACAAATCTCACTGTTTTATTATGACATACGGGACAAATCCCACACTGTGTATTTCTATGGTGTAAGGGAAAAATCTCACACTATATTTATATAATGTCTGGGACAATCTCGCACTGTATTTCTATGATGTAAGGAACAAATCTATCACTGTGTATTTCTATGATGAAAGAGACAAATATCACATTGTGTATTTCTTTGATGTAAGGGACAAATCTCGCACTGTATTTTTGTTATGTAAGGGACAAATCTCACACTGTATTTCTATGATGAAAAAGACAAAATCTCACGCTGTGTATTTCTATGATGTAAGGGACAAATCTCACTATTTCTATGATGTTAGGGACAAATCTTACACTGTGTATTTCTATGATGTAAGGGACAAATATCGCACTGTGTACTTCTATGAGGAAAGAGACAAATCTCGCACTGTATTTCTACGATGTCTGGGACAAATCTTACACTGTACATTTCTATGATGTAAGGGACAAATCTCACACTGTATTTCTATGATGAAAGAGACAAATCTCACACTGTGTATTTCTATGATGTAAGAGACAAATCTCACACTATTTCTATGATGAAAGAGACAAATCTCACACTGTGTACTTCTATGATGTAAGGGACAAATATCACACTGTGTATTTCTATTATTTTAGGGAGAAATCTCACACTGTATTTCTATGATGTAAGAGACAAATCTCACATTGTATTTCTATGATGAAAGAGACAAATCTCACACTGTGTATTTCTATGATGTAAGGGACAAATCTCACACTGTGTATTTCTATGTGGAAAGAGACAAATCTCACACTGTGTATTTCTATGATGTAATGGACAAATCTCACACTGTGCATTTCTATGTGGAAAGAGACAAATCTCACACTGTGTATTTCTATGTGGAAAGAGACAAATCTCACACTGTGTATTTCTATGTGGAAAGAGACAAATCTCACACTGTGTATTTCTATGTGGAAAGAGACAAATCTCACACTGTGTATTTCTATGTGGAAAGAGACAAATCTCACACTGTGTATTTCTATGTGGAAAGAGACAAATCTCACACTGTGTATTTCTATGTGGAAAGAGACAAATCTCACACTGTGTATTTCTATGTGGAAAGAGACAAATCTCACACTGTGTATTTCTATGTGGAAAGAGACAAATCTCACACTGTGTATTTCTATGTGGAAAGAGACAAATCTCACACTGTGTATTTCTATGTGGAAAGAGACAAATCTCACACTGTGTATTTCTATGTGGAAAGAGACAAATCTCACACTGTGTATTTCTATGATGTAAGGGACAAATATCACATTGTGTATTTCTATGTGGAAAGAGACAAATCTCACACTGTGTATTTCTATGATGTAATGGACAAATATCACACTGTGTATTTCTATGTGGAAAGAGACAAATCTCACACTGTGTATTTCTATGTGGAAAGAGACAAATCTCACACTGTGTATTTCTATGTGGAAAGAGACAAATCTCACACTGTGTATTTCTATGTGGAAAGAGACAAATCTCACACTGTGTATTTCTATGTGGAAAGAGACAAATCTCACACTGTGTATTTCTATGTGGAAAGAGACAAATCTCACACTGTGTATTTCTATGTGGAAAGAGACAAATCTCACACTGTGTATTTCTATGTGGAAAGAGACAAATCTCACACTGTGTATTTCTATGTGGAAAGAGACAAATCTCACACTGTGTATTTCTATGTGGAAAGAGACAAATCTCACACTGTGTATTTCTATGTGGAAAGAGACAAATCTCACACTGTGTATTTCTATGTGGAAAGAGACAAATCTCACACTGTGTATTTCTATGTGGAAAGAGACAAATCTCACACTGTGTATTTCTATGTGGAAAGAGACAAATCTCACACTGTGTATTTCTATGATGTAAGGGACAAATATCACACTGTGTATTTCTATGTGGAAAGAGACAAATCTCACACTGTGTATTTCTATGTGGAAAGAGACAAATCTCACACTGTGTATTTCTATGTGGAAAGAGACAAATCTCACACTGTGTATTTCTATGTGGAAAGAGACAAATCTCACACTGTGTATTTCTATGTGGAAAGAGACAAATCTCACACTGTGTATTTCTATGTGGAAAGAGACAAATCTCACACTGTGTATTTCTATGTGGAAAGAGACAAATCTCACACTGTGTATTTCTATGTGGAAAGAGACAAATCTCACACTGTGTATTTCTATGTGGAAAGAGACAAATCTCACACTGTGTATTTCTATGATGTAATGGACAAATCTCACATTGTGTATTTCTATGTGGAAAGAGACAAATATCACAATGTGTATTTCTATGTGGAAAGAGACAAATATCACACTGTGTATTTCTATGTGGAAAGAGACAAATCTCACACTGTGTATTTCTATGTGGAAAGAGACAAATCTCACACTGTGTATTTCTATGATGTAATGGACAAATCTCACATTGTGTATTTCTATGTGGAAAGAGACAAATATCACAATGTGTATTTCTATGTGGAAAGAGACAAATATCACACTGTGTATTTCTATGTGGAAAGAGACAAATCTCACACTGTATTTCTATGATGTAAGGGACAAATCTCACACTCGGTTAGATTGATGTAGGATTTAGAGATATAATTTTCCCCACAACAAACTATGAAAACAGTGTGATCATCTACAAATCTCACTATATGTGAATGTATATCACATGTGACGGAGAGACAAATCTGACATTTGATTTCATGCGTGCAAGATGGCAATTCTCACACTGTGAATCAGTTCAGATTTTCCTGTCTGATCAAATGATAATTAAGCCTTATTTAAGTAGATAAACCTGTTGACATTTCTTATAAAACTTCAGTAGTTTTTTTTTTATTAAATGTGATCATGCATAGGTACCTTGGACTGCCTGATTCCAGCCTTTCCTTGGTTTGGCCTGGGGTGCAGACCATTTGTCCCGGGCTCCTCCACCATGACCTGACACAATGACATTCCCAGTTCCAAATCGATTCTGTACAGCCGTGATAAAAAGGTCAACAGTTTTCTGACTGACATCACAGAGATACACATCCCTAATACAACATCCAGGATTGTCTCTGTAAAAGTCATCCACAGCCTCTACAATGGTTCTGGTAGACTTGTTGGCCGGGTAACCATAAACACCTGTAAATCATAAAGTTCAACTAGAAAATGTCATAAAAATCCTCATCATAATGTAAATATAATTATTTTATTTTTAAGGGGTGGCATACAAATCCTCATCATAATGTAAATATAATTATTTTATTTTTAAGGGGTGTCATACAAATCCTCATCATAATGTAAATATAATTATTTTATTTTTAAGGGGTGGCATACAAATCCTCATCATAATGTAAATATAATTTTACTGAAGTCTTTTGAAACTTGTTATGTCGCATTTATCGTCTCCTTCCTTTGTTGGCTCAACTGGTCCATTAGGGACCAAAGTTACTGCGCTTCAATGCAATACTCAGTGGCAATATTGCCAGCTTCTGAACTGCTGAATGGAATTTAACCAAATTTGATATGAAACATATCTAATTGGTGGGGATTGAACATTGTACAAACAGGGGTGACTGATCCCCTTAGGACTGAAGGGGGGGGGGGGGTTAGATTAGTCATAATTGCTTTAAATAAGTCCTCTGGAACTATGACATGGATATCAGTCATATTTGGTTAGATGGATTCTCAGCTAGTGAGGACTCAAAACTGTACAAATAGAGTGGCTGACAGCACAGGGGGCTTAGGAACAGGACAAAGGGACAATTTGGCCATATTGGTTTCCCCCTTTTACCGATAAATCCCTGAAAACGGGAATGAAACCAGAGATCCTTGAAGGATCTAGTGCCCACCATCAAAGGATCTTTATCAGATTTTAAAAGATTATAGTTTACCTTCTTTTTTCTCTTCAATCCTTACAGAAACTTAAGTACCAAGTACCATATTGGAAATCCTAAACTATGATAAAAGTTTTTTATAAGAACTACATAACTTAAAATGCTACAAATTTTTAATTATTACATAATTAGAAGTGCTGTCAATAACAGACCAATTCTCATTAGGGCTAGAGTACCATGGGGAACAAACATACACATTTTTTGTACAAAATTGAACTGTTAAAGAAAGTACTATATTTACCTCCTGCATAGAGTAGAAAAACCGAACACACAGACTTTTTGCCATTAGCTCTTTTTTCCAAAAATACTTATAATAAAAAACTTTAACAATTGATTTTTTTTTAATTTTCAGAGGAGTATATCCTTAAATGACCACATTCAATAAGCAACCAGTTGTGATGTTTCCTTAGAGTGATCAGTTAAGACAGGTATAACATTTCTCGAGTGTAACAGGATATAATTGGGCGTCCATACAAATTATATTCCCTACTCCCTGAGATAAGATCAACTAAAGCAATTTCATTCAAATTCATGATGAAAAACCAGGTGTCGAGCAGACTAATTGGATATCATTATAGTGTGCTTCAATGATTTGCTTATAACTGTTGGTGGAAGATTATCATTTGGGGAATCTGGTCAGCTAGATTATAAGATTACAGGTATAAAGGTTTTATTACCTGAAAAACAAAGACAACACTATTTTATTTCAGACCACACATCTGAACCGATCATAATATTCTCCTTTGTGCATTTTCTTTAAATTGTTTTTTGAAAGGGTTGAAATTTAACAAATGTACATTTACCTTTGCATTACATGTAGTTACAATAATGAAGTTTTGATACCAAAAACTGCAGTGTCAAATCTTGATTTGCTATATTTGAAGTTCCCTGCTGAAACAGTGATCAGTTAGTATTTCTAAATTCTTAATCTGTAAAACATGACGACAAAGAACATCTTGGAGTAAATAACAGGAAAATTATTACAACTTTATTTACAGCTGTCCCTTAATTATGCCCCATGTATACGTAGTTGCGTACCTGCTCCAAGATCTGGCAATGCAATGGATGTCTGATTATGGTCGTTGGCTTCCTCCATAGACTTCAACCCTGCTTCCCGTAGCATTTCCTCCTCGTTATTTCGCCCTCCCTGCCATACTGGTCCCACCGCGTGGGCAATGAAGTTACATTTGAGGTTCCCAGGCTTCCCCAAGTACACGTCACCCTCCATCAGCCGGCTGTATCGTTTGATGTGTTCATCGCAATCCCGCTGTATGCTTTTCCCTCCTGTAACAACACAAATCAATACAAATGGCCTACAGCCTTAACGGTCACAATTATTTGTTGTGATGTGACAAAAACAAACAGTACATCAATGATCAAAATATGCCCATTTGTCAGTGGTTACCCTGTGAAAAAAATGTTGGGGAGTGTCATCATCATATATGGTATCATACCATATACCAGGTTATCTACACAGGTTAAAATTTTGACCAAAATTTAGATTACACAGATTAAAATTTCACAATGCAGACATGTGGAGGAACTAAAGTTTTGCTTAACTGTACCGATTCGGTGTCTGCCTAATTGAGGAAGGAAGGAAGATAATGTTGGACTTTTGTACAAAAGGACAAATATATCAACAAATATTTTTTTAATGACAATTTATAGATAAATCAAAGAAACACACAACCATATATCAAAATACATTTAATTGTTTGCATTTAAGTGTCCTTATATTTCAGGGCAGACTGTAGCAACAATACACACAGTGTTCATTAAGTTGTGCAAATTACACGGGTTTTTACGGTACACTAAAGGACTATCTACAAAGATAATACAAAACATGTACATGCATTATGTAATTTTTTTGTCACTTATGTTAGTTAAATGTCCATTTTTTTATCATGCACACATCGTGCCCACATCGTGCGCACACCGCACACAGCACATCGTGTAACGTACGTTGTGCGATCCCACAACTGTATGTAAAAAAATTGGCACTTATATTAGTTTACTGAGTGGCATGTAGCCTTCCAACTCGTTTGTAATGCAATCAAAATCATTGATGATGATGAGTTGTGTTTTATATTCCAGATTTCCTGAAACAAGTTTCAAAACCATTTTGCAAACAGTTTCTTAATTTTTGACTTAAGACATAATTTCGCCTGCAGATATATCATACTTCACCCTTAGGTTATTCAGAAGAATTAAGTCATTTTTAGGTTTTTAACATATGTTACCCTTATGGCCTTGAATATGAGTCAATGTCATCATTTGAACAAACTAATGGTACACATACTTCACCCTTAGGTTATTCAGAAGAATTAAGTCATTTTTAGGTTTTTAACATATGTTACCCTTATGGCCTTGAATATGAGTCACTGTCATCATTTGAACAAACTAATGGTAGTGCTTCATCCCAGAAGATACTGTTGAAATATCATCATCCTAGGCCTTCTAGGTATTCAAAAGAAGTTCTTGGCAGTTTACAACATATTAGACCCCTGTGACCTTGAAAATGAACAAAGGTCATTCATATTAACACATTTGGTAGTCCTTAATCCCAGCATGCAACTAGCCAAATATGAAGATTCTATACCTTTCAATTACTCAGAAGAAGTCGCTTAAATAGTTCGACATATTTGATCATTGTGACATTAAAAGTAAGTCAAGGTCATTTTCTTTCTCAAACTATGTCAGGCTCTATCCCAGGAAGCCACCAGCCAAATATGAAGATTCTATACCTTTTAGTTCTTCAGAAGAAGTTGTTTGAAGCGTTTGACATATTTGACCACTGTGACCTTGAAAGTAGGTCAAGGTCATTTTCATTCTCAAACTTTGTTGGGCTCTATCCCAGGAAGACACCAGCCAAATATGAAGATTCTATATCTTTTAGTTCCTAAGAAGAAATTGTTTAAAGAGTTTGACATATTTGATCGTTGTGACATTAGGAAGTACAATGTAGGTCAAGGTCATTTTCATTCTCAAACTTTGTTGGGCTCTAACCCAGGAACCCACCAGCCAAATATAAAGATTTTATGCCTTTCAGTTCTTCACAAGAAGTCGTTTGAAGTGTTTGACACATTTGACCCCTGTGATCTTGAAAGTAGGTCAAGGTCATTTCCATTATCGAACTTTGTTGGGCTCTATCCCAGGAAGCCACCAGCCAAATATGAAGATTCTATACCTTTTAGTTCTTCAGAAGAAGCTGTTTAAAGTGTTTAATATATATATGACTGTTGTGACATTGGGAAGTACAATATAGGTCAAGGTCATTTTCATTCTCCAACTTTGTTGGGCTCTATCCCAGGAAGCCACCAGCCAAATATGAAGATTCTATACCTTTTAGTTCCTCAGAAGAAGTCATTTAAAGTGTCTGACACATTTGACCCCTGTGACTTTGAAAGTAGGTCAAGGTCATTTTCGTTCTGAAACTTTGTTGGGCTCCTACCAACAAAGCTTTCAGACAAATATCATGGCTCTACGCCTATCCATTCTTCAGAAGAAGTTGTTTTAAGGAAAAGCTGACTGACGACAACGGTTGGATGGACGACGGGCGCCGCACAATGACATAAGCTCATTTGCCCTTCTGGCAGGTGATCATGAGCTAAAAACCAAACCAAACCAAACATAGCCAATATAACCCTTTTTTGGCCCTGTCCCTCATGCCTCTGGGTTTATTAGGTCCATATAATTCACAATTTTGGTTTTCCTTTTTAGACCATGGAACCTTAATTTGTATGAAGTTTTATTGAAATTGGGTCAAACGTTTTGGAGAAGTGAAAAAAACAATGCATGATGACAAACAAAAGGCGATCTCAATAGGTCAACTGAGACTAATTTGCCTCAGGTAACATAAAATTCTGTAGTGTCTTGAGCTCTTAATTATGAAGTTCCTTCCCCATCAAAAAGTCTACCTTAATTATCACCAATAATTAATATGGAACCCACCCCTTTCGATACTGGAGTCTGTTAACTTGCTGAGAAATCTTAAATCTTTTCAACTACCTTCCTACTGCAATGGCACTTTGATTGAATTATGAAAAGCTTTGGTGACCCTGACCAACCTTTATCCACTATAGACTTAGTGACACTTTTCAACAACCCTCGATTACAAGAGCCTTGGCTAGACTCTTCAAAAACATTTGTCACAATAGTCTTCATGATACTCTTCAACAACCTTTGGCTGCAATAACCTTTTTGGTACCCATTATGTTCTTAACTTCTGACCACAACATTACATCATGACACTCTTTTGTAAACTTTGGCAAAAAAGCCTTGATGAGACCATTACACAACTTTTTACTACAATAGCATTCTTTCACATTACCTTTAACAGCAATACTATAGCCCACAGTGTGTATCAAACTTATTAGAACTATATTTTCAATGCTCTCAGTATTTTATGGTGTTAGAGTAATGCATATCCTTAAAGAAGAAATCAAGAGTTTAATAAACCAGCTAATGTATTTACTAACTACTAAATATTTCATCCTCATGAACTAAATATCTTACCTTAGATCTACTGTACTCAATTTCCTTGTTTTTGACCACAATAGCCTACGCAAACACTCGATATGAAAAAAAAACACCTTTATCTTTCTCACAATACCCTTTAGCATGGCCTTCCAAAATAATGGAATTTCGAACCTTCATCCACAAAGCCCTGGCAAGCTCCCAAGTATAATTCCTTATATAATTGAGAAATGCAGTAAAATAGAATGCCTTACCTTTATCCACAATAGCCTTTGCAAGCCCTCCAGCATGCTGGAGTTTCTTGTTTGCTGCGTTGACAAGCACATCCACCTTGAGGTTGGTGATATCCCCCAACATAACCATGAGATGATAGTTAGGCTGGGAACACCTCGCCATTTCTTGTATACCGTCTCGTCTTCTTGGTGCAGGAGTCGGCCTACCTCCAGCCTCTCCTCCACTGACATCATCTTCGCTCTCATCGCTTGGCACAATTACGACACCATGGGATTTTTCCACTTGACTTACTTTCAGTTTACTGTCTTCGGATGTCATCAGTTTGGTGATGCCTGGTTTTTTTAATATATGTTCTTTTTTCTCAACGCTGTCAATGACATTACCTATACCCATCTTTGCTTTACTGAGGCCTACCTCGGTTCCTATGATTTCGATACCAAGGTTGTCTATATCAATTGTGACATTGTACTGATCTCCGATGGCAGTAACTTCTTTAAGACAATGGACTATAACAAACCTCAGCATTCCTGTGCTGATTGATAATTTGGTGTTATAAATAGTGTTCATGATTAAGAAATCAGTCACCCGTTTTCTCACCATCCCAGCATCTCTATCAGTGGAGTAAATCACAATACAAGGTGTGTCCATCATAACTTTCATTTGTACCATTACACCGTATGAATCTTTGATGGACTGCTCCTCGCTGGCCCAACTGTCTGATGACAGGAGAGAAGAGGATTCCTTCTTCACATCAACAATGGTCTCTAGAACCGAATCTCTCAGAATGTGTGCCGCACGAACTGCAGCATCATCCGTCATAGCATACACTACAAAGCGATTGTCCTGCATTTTCCAAATAGACATGATTTTGTCCTCTTTCATCTTTCCTGCAACATACTGTTTCACCGCCATGTCTTGGAGGTAAGCATACCTGCCCTTGTTGAAATCACCCACATCACTGGACACCATCGCATGTATCATTTCATACATTTCCAACTTTGCACTGGTAACCTCTCCATACAACCCATCATATGTTACTGTTCTGGCCTTAAAATCTAACATGACTTTCATCCCGGGATATTTCTTCTCCATTGTATCAGTGAAATGTGTAAGGCTCAACATGACAACTTGGTGATGTTTTATTGGTGAAGTTGTTTCTTTAACTTGTTTCTTCTTCCTATCTAATTCAACAGCAATCTCTCGTTTGATTTTTTTCACTCTTTGATAAACTTCTGTTGCAAACTTCTTGTGCCCCATGATGAAAATTTCAAATTGACTTTTTCCACGGCTACTGTAACACCATCAGGGTGAGATATGTTCATATTCTGAAGCTGTGCTATTACACCATCCCAAGCGTCCTGGAGAATCTGATGTTTGTAGACAAGTAGGACATCCAGAAACATGTCCAGACTTTTCCGTGCTGTCTGGGTCCATGCTTTGGCCAAATTCCGACAATCTTTTACATCTTTGGTCAACAGACATACAAGTTTAACTGGATCGGCAAGCTTTTCTGGCCAAATAATTTTTGTATGTTGTGCAGTTAA